GATCAGTAACATTCTAAGCTGGGAGGCTTGGAAAAAGACATTCACTCACGCATTGGAAGATTGATTAGCTCATGCGACGATTGTGACTGTGGTTGTGATTATGATAGAATGAGATACAGCTTTCAGGGATTGGAGAATATAGAATAGATGATAGGTAGGTGGGTCTGTTGTTCAGTTGACTTTAAGGGGCGAGTTGAAGCTGTGTTATGTATAGTGTTTTGTGTTGATTGTGATTATTCTTGTGTATGAAAATATGAGCTTCGAATAAGTACAATGCAGCACAACCTTGGAAGTTCGAGGTCCCACCACCCATACAGACAGCAATACCTATGATTATCCGAAGATAGCCAAAACTGTGGTAACAAAACTTCCCCAAAGTTTGTTGCACGCGGCAACCCCGATTATCCTTACTAGTACATGAAGGTTCAGCCAACCTGAGAATGATTGTACCGTGTTCACCGGATGATTATTTAATTTTAAAGTTCATGCCTCAGCCTTGCATCAACCTCGTGCCTTAGGTAGTTTAATAGGTAGGGAAGTGCATCCGTTGTTATTCATCACACTCAAATATATCTTCAGGCAATTCCCTACTCCAGATATTTCAACTCACAACATGGCTTAGCTATATTGAATACAAATCGATTCTTGAAGTGCTACCTGAGCCTTGGAATAAACAAAAGCTGGAATATTTTAATTCCATTTACCTCCTCTTCTTAAGAATTTTTATCGCTTACACCACTTCTACACCTTACCTGGAGCCTGGTAGGCTTTCAATTGAGCCTAAGTCCACGCAGCATCTGATTACCAAAACAGAGAGTCTTTCTGTAAAAACCCGGGAGAGCTCTACTCGAGTAGTATAAGACCAGTTTCTGAGATGTTTTGTATAATGACAATGATTCCTTTTTGGGGTTCAGCAGTAAATGAAACAGTCGTCCTCCCCAGGTGATGATGGTTTATTCATCATATAGTGAATATTGGGGTTGATCGATCAAACTTTGGACCTTCATCTCCGTAGGTGCTGTTCGGCCCAAAGGTCCCTCTTCAGTCTTAACGGGTTATCATTGGACAATGCTAGTTGATAGTGTAGTATTGGGAGCCGATACATTTGCTGCTTTTGCGGTTCAAAATAAGAATGGGGCCCGATGGTAATTTATTAGTCTCGGGAGATTTCTTCCTTTTGCCGAGTCATACTTCAAATAGCTGCGAGAAGGTGATAGCATCTAGAAGTAGGTATGTCGATAGGCTCGTACGATTAACCACCATTATCGGATGTGAAGCGAACAATCCCTCTGACGTGTTCCTTTGTGAGAAGAATATATGTTTCTGTATTTTGGATATCCATGGGCTTGAAGGTTGTGCAACGGACAATTTCATGTAACCTATAAATCGTGCTGTGATATCTTGAGAAGTACCGCAGCCAACATATATGCTTGCAGCTTTTGGTGGTGATATTGAAACTAAAGCAGAGAGATGACATGGAAGAGCCCTTTTTCCCCTCAAAAGCTGCTTTCCCACATAAGCCGATACTACATTAAGGGGGGGAATGCATGTGAGGTCCTCCTCGCTACCCCTATTGATCCAACCTCACTACCGGTGATATCTCATCGATTGTCTTTGCGTATAAATATTCTTTGTTCATGTTGTTCATGAGCTAAGAGCCTAGTTCCTTCCCACATACGAAACACTTAACACCTAGCCATCGCATCAGTCCCAAGTTCCCGATTATATCAACGCATTGGATTGTACCGACGTCTCATCACGAGAGATAATAGGAAGTGGATATATATCTTGTATCCAGGACCTGGACCCCAACCTATTTCAATAACCAGTGCTACCGGGAAGTTGATGCCGTTACTTCACACTGGCCATACAAACACCAAACCTTCATTGTTCCTGACGAGCCAACACCGACTCATGCAAGCCGTGCATAAGCGAGTTTATATCTTGGGGATTTGCTCAGCTGATTAACCAAAACGGAGCTACGGAAGTTGTTTACAGTATATATATATATATATATATCCCAAGATACTAATAAGAGCCACAAATATCCGGGGTACATCTGATTCATGGAACGCCTATTCAAGAAGACTCAGAATACCAAAGCCGAACAGAAGTATGAAATACGAGTCAGCGATTTCTTCCAAAGAAGCCCTTGAGGTAAGCTGTGGCGAATGTTTCTCAATGCGCGCGCACACATGTAGAAGCAACCATTCAGAGAGTGCATAAAGTAAGGAAAAGCTCCGTTCCACGTCAACTGATATGATGATCTTGGTGTTCCAATAAAATCAAGTCTGTGTCACAAGCTCCACCGCTCGTGACAAGCATGACGGTCAATACCAATATTCTTTTTGATGCGGCAACAGCACTTTTCTCTGACTTCATCTGAATTGGAATTTGTGGGGGTTTCCATCTATCGATATCGATTGCATCAATAACAAACAATTTTACGTTGAGTGATCTCATCTTTCGTTATGACTTCGTGGCAAATCCATCGAAGTACCAGGTAGGCAAGTATCAAGAATTACTCCGTACGATTGAGTCGATCCAGCGATATCAGTTGACGGTTGACCGATGCACCCAAGCCAATCTGTTTGAGGGGTTCCCTCTGGACAATGTGGGCCCAAAGTCAATTCTCAACGTCAGCTCTTCTTGGAAGCCACTACCTAGGTACTTTTACACATTCCGCTGCACCTGCACCTTTCAATAATTCTGTACCTAACCTACCCTTTCAAATTTCACTTCAAACTCTCCTTAGTGGGAAGCCCTTATTCATGCTCTCTCAATGCCAAAACACAATTCATCTCTCGTTCTTCTCTAAACTCCAATCAGGTTGATTTATTGCTACTATTAACTCCAGCATAACGCTTTAGGATTTAAAATCCACGATATAATCACGAGGTCACGGCTGCATGTAGGAGACCAATGCAATATTAATGCGACTTTGACGCTGATTGCCCTGGCTATTTAAAAGACCTCACCATTAACAAACAGAGCATTCTGAACTATAAATCAAAACCATATCTTCACTCTCACATCATCAAGTAATAGAGTTCATTCCATCTTCAACAATCCTTCAGCAACTCAAGCAACCACATTCTCTTCATCAGTAGGCAGACTTCGTTGAGCCCTACCACATTTCTCTTCATATCTTTGAGAAGAACGTTTCTGAACTCCTTTTCTTTGAATATCTCTCACCGACATTCAACAAGGACTTGCACATTGTTGAGTTCTTATGTGTGGTTTGCACAAAATACTGCCTCCATCCTCACTTTCAATTTGGAATTCCTCAGATACTTCCTGGCATATCCTCTCACCTCGGTAACACCTTCTGCTGTGCCGCACGTGATTGTTAGATCCAATCTCCTCGCATTGCAGCTACTGCCATTGGACCCCTATCACATCCAAAACTCAGAATTCATCCCACGGTCAGTCCTTCCCTCATGGTTATTGTGTATCTACTAACCGTCATCAGACCATGAGTGTCTCCGCAACAACCACTACCGTGGCGATCCAAGAACGTCACCCTACAAACGACATCACCCTAGAAGTACCAATGGGTCTTAAGCAACAAGACATCATTCAAATCACTCTTACCGGGCCAGGTCTCGTCCTCACCATCCTAGGTATTATCATCTGCATCAACCTTTTCCAGCCATCCCTAACCTGCACTATTATCGCCTTGGCACCAATACCATGGATCGTGTACAACGACTATCATAATTTCATATCCTTAGGTCCAGGAGGGACTCCCTCTACTCTACTTGGATATGTCAAAATCACTTATCTTCGCATCTTTGCTCTTTCCGATCCGTACAGCCCACCAAAAGTCTCCGAGGATACAAAGCCTGCATTTGGTTACATACAAGGCACCCGCCAAAACCTTCCTATTCGCAGTGGCCCACGTCCCAAAGTTGCCGGTATTGCTCCCCAGAGACAAATAAGCCAGTATGGTTCTCGAGCCATGTACGAACTTCTCCGCACCAGCCTCAATAATCTCGCACACCGACAGTCGGACAAGCTCAAGACGGAGGTATCCTGTTTCGAGAAGAAAGGGCTTGCGCTTTTCTCTCTCAATCCCATCAACACTACCTGCAATGGAGAAATCTGCCATGTGCACCATAGCGACAATAGTTACCACATGAACCTTCATCCGGAGGATGCAAAGATTATTCTGGAAAAGGGTTGGGGTGAGAGACATCCAATGGCTGGCGCTTGTGCACCGCAAACTGTTGCCAATCTCTTATCCTACCTTCCAACATCTCTATCTACGTGGTTCTCTCCAAGAGTTGTACCTGAGCAATTCGTCTTGATTTATGCACCGAGGAATAAAGATGAGCTCCAAGTTGTATGTCACATCATCGAGGCAGCTGCATTCTGGGTCAGTGGTGAGAAAATGACACTTTCTATCGAGAGTGTTCCGTTGACCGAAGAATCTGTTATTGCTTAACGCACAGCGCTGGAGAATTGGTTGGAGGTTGAGAACTACGATCATGGATGGAGCAATGGGGTGAAGAAACGGGGTAGGGGATAGATAAAATTGAAACGACAATGTGGTAAGAAGTAAATGATGGTTGAAATGGAGACACGAAAGGGGATTGGTAAATTGATGCAGGAGTATTGGGTCAAAGTTGGTTTTGCATACATGAAAATATACCCTTGATTGCATTCCATCGCGTTGATATTTAGCTTATTCTTATCGCTACCAATGCATGGTGCCAGCTGTTGGCTTACTTTAAAAGAAAAAGGCACTTATGAACATTGCGTGATAAGGTTAATTTTAAATTGGTATTTTAAATTCTGTCATTTACCTCATGCTGGTATGTGGTAGGAAAAAACAATAAAGAAAGCGACCCCAAATCCCATGCTAGGAGTGTATGTGTAAATATTCATTCAAATTGGCTCAACCCACGCTCCCAGAAACATCCACAGAAATCCATGATTCAAATTGACAAAGGAAAAGAAGATATGTATGCTATCAGTGGACAGGTAAACATCCAGATTTATGGCCTTCTTGCATCACACTCTTCAAGGAACTTATATATTCCCTCTAGGCCCTCATATTCATCTGATTCAGATGGATGTTCGCTGACCTTTGTAAAATAGGCAGAGCCACTTTCGCTGATATCTTCGTCCATTGTTTCGTAACCTTCGACCCAAGGATTTTCCGAAAATTCTTCGAGAATATTATCATATTCATCTTGGTCAGGAGAGGACAAGGTAGTTTGTAGACAAGGAGATAACAGATCTGAGTGTGGTTCTGATTCGGCAGTAGGAGCGAAAGGGAATTGGAGAGCCATTTGCGTTCCTACAGCGGCGTCAAATCCGGCATCTTGATATACGATTCCTCGCTGCACGCCGACTTCATCGCAGAGACGCTCTACAGACTCGGCATCGCAGCCCGGGAATCGGACACGTAGGATGTGATTGTTCTCGAGAGTGATGGGGAGATCGCCAAGCGAAGATAGTTTCTTGAGATCGTTCATTGTTACTGCGAGGTCTTTGAGAGCGCGTGAGAAGTCAACGGACAGAATATCGAGGAAACCGGAGGTGTTGAGAGATGGGGCGGCTTGAGACAACTTTTGAGCACCGAATGGGAGTGCTCCAGCGAGAGGAGACAAAGCGGTGACGGTGGGGTTAACAGCGAAATCGATGTATGAGCCTGGGTTGAATTTGGAAACGGATTGAATCTTGCGAGTGGTTTCCTCCTGGAGAGAAGAAACAGCTCTGTAGCGCTTCTCGCCCATGGGAGTCATACCATCGAATTGAGCCTTTTGTCCAGAAAGGAAGAATGCTCGGACAGCTTGTGAAACATTGTTAACCACTTGTGCCGGAGCAGCAGGTGTATGTGAGAAGTATCGAGCACCTGCTCTTCCACCTCCTAAGCTATAGCCTCCTGCTGTTCTGGGGAGTGCTCCACCACTCAAGTTTGGTCGGAGAGTTGAGGCAAATGGAGCTCGGCTTGTGAGACGAGACACAGCGGCTGAGGTGTTTGATTTTGGGAACGAAGCACGATCATGCTTAATAGCTTGTCCACTCGTGCTCATAAAACGACGGACAGCAGCATTAACAGCACTTTGGGTAGTATACCATCGTCCCTTATTTTGACGGAGGAGAGCCGCCGGATGGATAGGATGGCGAGGTGTACTTCTCACAAAAATTGGTTGAAGTTCTGCGGTGACAGGCTTGCTCGTAACATCTTTGATGCGTAATTTAATAAGTTTCGTAGTTCGTTGAACTACGTTCCTATGAAATATGTTAGAATACTGTCTTGAATGGTTGCAACGAGGACATTGGAGTTTCTCATAGAGTTTAAAAAATTGTAGGAACAACTTACTTTAGCATTCTCACAGCTACAGGCGCCCAGATGCCTCCAGACGACGCCATAATGAATACTGATTTATGAAGTTATCAAGACTCTTTGATTGTTGTAAATGGTTTCGTACCTCGACGTCAGGGACGGATCGTATCTGGGGATGTTATCGCCACTGCTCAGCCACATCACATGCCTGGACGTGGCTTAGAGACTAATACTTTTCCAGCTCTAGCGTCATCTTCGCGCTAATGATTAGCGGGAAAAATAATTTTTGAGCTTGAGCTTTAAAAGTTTTCCTCCTCTGCTCTTCTGTCTCTACAACCAACCAACATCTTCAACAACAACAATAATAACCATCATGCCTTTTCTTTGTGCGAGCAGGTTTTCTATTTTCACTATGATTTAGTTTTCTTTACTTGGTAAGCAATTACTCCTCCCTACTTGCTTCAATTGCCTCAATGATGAACACAAACACATATTGAACAATCCAACTCTTACACAGCAATGGAGATTTGTATTTTAATCTGAGCAATCTTGATTTACATCGTGAATTTGAACCTCACACAGCTAAGCACGCAGCTAACGTTTCGTCTCAGACAGTTTCATTTGCTATTATATCTTACAAGCTGCTACATGCTTTCAATTTAAAAGGTTCGTACATTGCATATTTATTCCTTACTCTTTGCGCACCGTTGGGGGTGATGATGAAAACTCATTGGAAAGGCATTCCTCAATCCGAATTATACTGTCGAATCTTTGCATTTAAGTTTCAGCCTTGTCTGACCCATCGTTCATTTATTGCATATTATTGAAACATATTTTCTGTTCCAGAGCTAACCATACATGGCAATAGGTACACACACTTCCTCATCATCAGTTTCCTCGCATTACATGACGAACTTTGAACGAACGGGCGGACAGACTGCGCACTCCTGCTCCTGTCTCCTATTAAAGCGAGGCGTACAAACCTTGTGGGAGGTAGACGGTTAGGAAGTGCTTGTTGAGAACTCGTCAGCTGATCTAATGCTCAATTGCTCTTGGATCATTTCGATACGCCGCTTGACCATGGACATCAATGCTAACCTATCTTTCTTTAGGTAATAACTACAATCTTTTTCTTCTGCTGCCACACAGGACCATTGCATTAAAATGATGAAACTTATTCACACTGTTTGAAGTGGACTATGTCCGCTACTGAACGCACTATAAAAATCTGATTTAATGAGGTATGTTTCACTATTAATTAGGATGAAGAACCAATGCTAACGATTCTCTAGCCTGACATTTGCTTATGGTTCCTTGCATTTTTGATACCATCAAAAACTTATTCAAGTACATTGACAATTGCTGACAATTTCGTATCGAACACAGGCACACTTCACAACTACTTTGGCAGGTGTTTCCCTACAAAATGTAAGCTTCTTATTCACCTCCCCTCCTCACATCCTTTGCTCTGATGAACCCAAATATTCGCTGTGTTCTTTCCGAGTCAACCTTTGACGAAACACATATTTCACCTTGGAGAACTGAGATAGTACTCTTGTTACTCATTTCTAATCGTATATCAACAAAGTTTGGGAATTGAAGCTGACCTGCATAGACATAATGATATTGTAAGCTGGAAATTCATCTGGAGTAAAGGGAAGAGATGTTACTAGATGCCCAAAATAAAAATATTCTGTTCTATTATTTATTGGTCTCTCCCGCCATGTGACTGTTTCGTGACCATTTCGTACGTCGTGAATGATTCTTATAATATGAGCGACCAATCGATTGTGACACGATACGACTTTAGATTCGATCAACAATCAGAAAAGAAGTCAAATATGAGCTTTCTTCAATGGGCGACTTCACGATTGGCAACATATCGTCGACCGCAAGACCTGCATGGCAGAAATAATTCATGCGGAGGGTACTAGGCTGAAAGACCCGTCTACTATTGGAATGAGGGCATGTGTTTCTTCAATGGAAAGTAAGGAGGGTAACAGGGTCTGGTATTGGAGGAACGCCGCGAAGTGGATTAGGGTACAGGTGAAGATTGATGAAAGCTAGAAACGGATAAGAAAGGTCACTGGTGTTCGAAGTGGTGTGAGAGCGGAAACAAAGTAGTAATTAACCAGATCAATATCGAAGCCGTCAGTCATAAAAACCCCGGACTCAACCTACACCTTCGAACCTTCATCGCTCAGTTCCCGCCAATACTCCTCTCTTGGAGCAAACACCAAATTCGGACCATCTTGATCCGCAACCGCAAGATCTAATAATTGATACTCATCTACCCTCTCTCTCCCATTCATATTTCTTGGCTGTCCTTCACCGAACTTGCCAGCTTCGCCTGGTACCTTTTCAAAATCAAAATACCATAAAGTTTTCGCGATTGCGAGACTAGTCTCGTGGTAAGCCATTGCTTTGCCGAGACAGCCGGTGTCTCCTAGGGCAAATGGCGCAAATGCTACGCGCATGGAGGCGAGGTTTCGCTATTCTTTTGGGTTGCTGTTGAGAGGGGGCGAGTTAGTTGTTGTCTATAGAAGGGGTTAAGAATGAGGAGGGTAGAAGTAACGAAAAGACCCAAATGAGGAAAACAATGAATGGTGGTGACATTCACAATGTTTCGTCAATACAGGCTGGAAGGTATCTGCATGAGGAGAGTTGGGTTCCGTTTTTTATTTCAAGGCCGGAGGAGAAGGTGTCGCGGATTTCGGTGGCGAGAAGAGTGTAAGCGGTGGGGTGGCGGGAGAGATGGAAGAAGATGGAGCTGAGAGCTGCGGAGAGGGTTGTGCCGCCTGGGAGGATATATTTGGTGTTAATGATGTCCATCATGGATAGTATGGGGTTGAAAAGACGCTCCTATTGAGTATATGAAGGGCCATCGCAAAAGCCAAATTTGAGGGAATCCGATAGGTGAAAGAAGGGATTCAGGAAATCGACATAACTCACCCGCGGGAATTAAAAATACAGCTTTAGCCCACAATTCGCTACGCCCAAGACTCTCTATACCTTCACCGACATCCCCTCCTGCGATAGAGTAGAAATCATGCTTTGCGTCCTGGGGAAGGGCTACGCGTTTCTGTATTAATTATACTCTGTATTGACTTGGAAAATGCCACGCCGTTCGTCTGATTAAGTCTTTTTAGAAGTGGCCATGTTTTGGACATCACTGGCCAGGCCACTGTGTGGTAGATGATTAATTGGTTTCTTGAAGCAGAAAACGACAGTCGTTGGGGAAAAGGACTAGCACGTCATGACTAGCTCTGAAATTTTGAAACACATTTCCAAAGGAAAATCACAATCTACTTACTATAAATACTAACAAGCGCATTCATAGAAATCATGGCCCTCGGAAACGCTCTGTTTCTCTCCTCCATTTGAGTATCAAGCGGCTGTCCAAAAGCCAACTGCCCAGCCACATCCGCAGTAAGTCGTTCACAAACGGCGACATATTAACAACTTCATTCTTGGTATCCAACAATAGCTTTAAGAACACATCGATCTCGCTACTCATAGTAGGCTCAAAAGAACGCGATGAACGTTCGGAAATAACTTTTCCATATATCTTACGTTTTTGGCGATGCCTTTCTCGTTCCAGTGTGCCGAAAATGTTGGTTTGGATTGTGTTACCTCGATAGGCGACGTTGGACATGACATGCAGCAAGGCTTGTGAATCATCTATTTGCAAATTCAGGAATGATACGATGTTGCCAATGAATGGCGCTGTGGGATTATGATATTGGATGTTCAGTTGGGGGATCGGCTCTCGCGGGTGCGGCACGGTAGTTGCGGTCAATGCCAACGACGCGGTAGTAATACAATTGCCTGGACTTTAGCCTTTCTATTAGTCGTGAAGGTACATATTGATGACTGCATACTATTATGAAACAACATACAATATACTGTCAGTAAATATACTGAATGGATGAAAAGATTGACGGGAAACTTTGCCAAAACGGTTAGACGACAATACCACACAGTTTGTTTTTTCTCTATTATCTAGATCAATCTTAACCTAGGTCGAGTGTCTTTCTGGTCTGTTAGACCCTTTTGTATACTATCCGAGGGTTTCTAAGCGATATCTTTTGATTCCTAAGGGCTGGGATTGGGTTTAGTATTCTCGTTTATAATTATATTGAACCCAATCCTAGCCCTTCAGGGTTCGTATGTAGGAGAATCTTTAGATAGGATATTAGAGGGTCTCCCAAAGACTCAAAAGACACCTAGATTGTATCTAGGTCATCCTTTCGTTTGTTGTATGCATGTGAGAGATGTGAGGTATATTTCAAGCTCAAATGAACTAAACTTTTAATCCCAACATAAGCCCGATTATGGACATTCAATCTTTGACCATTTCTACTGCGTTCGTGGAATTTCGCCTTCTCGTGTTGCATAATATTGCTGGTGTGGTTTCTTGCCAGAATTCGACTTCTATTCAGGCATGGAAGATTCATGTTGGTAAAGGGGAATGTAAGACGGAGGAAACGACATGACCGACACCACCACCATTCTTTTATACTTCATCTTAATATTAATGTTTCTGAATGGAGGAGAGACAGTACCACATTATATCCATAGTTTTCGATCTCCGGAATGCTAAATTAGTGGGGAACTGGACATCTAGCATTAATTCCATAACAATCGTAGATATATATTTAAGTCTTTAGATCTAATCTGCATTCGACGAGATTTTAGGTACTACTTAGATCTAGCCAATTCAACAGTAACCTCTAACTAAGCTTTTCAGACTAATTCAATCTCCTAGTCTCGAGTTCCTTCCCGCCTCCTTTTCCAAAGTGGGTCGTGGTCGTGTAGTCCCCCCTAGTATCAATTACTCTTAGGTTTTTCCATTACACAACCTATGATGGCAGCAATACGCATGCAGCCTTTTCCATCATGTAAGATTTCTCCAGGTTATTTGAGTATATAGACGGCAAAAAAGGCATCATAAATCTGGAGTAGATAATGCACACAATCTTGCAATTCCAACTTCTTCGTGATGAAGATTCGCGAGTATATGCGACCAACAGCCGCTGCTGTCGAGAGAGCTAAGCAGACAGCACCAACTATGATGGCCTCATGATTGCTATCTGAAGGATTTGTGAAGCTAGGGACAACGCCCTTTGGCGGCATCAATGACGGGCAGTTCAATATTTGTTGCTGCATGGCTGCGGGCAGACTGGGGAAACCAAGCAAATCGTTCGCCATATCGCTCGAGTTTGCACTTTATTCGCACCGTGAACCCTCCGGATCTTATTTCCATTATTTCGGAATAGAAACCAACACTTAAACCGCTTTTGCCCGGGGGGTAGACACTTTAGCCGGGCTCGTGCTCATCCGTTTTCGGAACATCAACTGTTAGATAAAGTATAGAAGCCATTACAGGGACATAGAGATGAGAGGATATATGAGGCGAACAAACGGTTTGGTCTCTGCACGAGGTCTGGTAAAATCACCCACATTTACATCTGATTTTGTGTCGACTCGCAAAAGCCAAATGGGTATTTTTTGAGTTCTTTGAGTATAACTTCAATCAACTTTATCTAGTTCACCATCCATAACACACCATGGAAACTAGGAACATCATAGCCACAGCCTCGTCTGATCAGACGAGCCAAATCATCACCAGTGATGACGCCGCTCTTTCATCACCGCTGGCCATCTTGGATGCTGCTGAGGGAGAAGAGATTGTTTACCTACGCGGAATACGTTTTGTGACGCTAGCTGCCTTGTTAGTCCTCTCTTCATAGAATTCCACTTTGCCTATCACCATCACTGTCTGGGGGCATCTTAATTTTTGTTCACTCTTAATTTTCAAAATTCAAACTGAAATGGAACAATAATGAATAGGATCAGCATTATGGTTTTCATAGTAAGCGTGGAAGCAAACGTCGCCGTTACATCGTTTGTGACTATCACGCGCGATCTTGGCGGGTTTGAAACTATCAGTTGGGTTCTATCTGGTTATCAGCTTGGATTTGTTGGTGAGTTAAGATTCGATTCTTATTATACATTCGAAGATCCTTCTTATATCAGTTTTAACCTATGAATGCCCCTAATTTAGCCTCCATTGCCATATCTGCTAAACTGAGCGACATATTCGGTCGCAAGCCCATCACTGCAGGCTTTCTGCTGATATTCACAGTCTTTTCGGCGGGTTGCGCTGCTGCCCAGACTATGACTGCACTGTAAGTTGCTAGACTATGTATAAATATGTACTCAAGCTCAACTGTTTTCCAGTATTGTCGTCCGAGCATTTCAGGGTCTAGGTGGCGGCGGTTGCTACACGTTGGCCTCGATCCTTATTGTTGACTCTGCCCCACCAGAGAAGTATGCAGAATACGTCACTGTGGCAGGTATTGCTATCGCTCTGGGGACCATTCTGGGGCCAATCATTGGCGGAGCTATCACCGAAAATACAACTTGGCGATGGATATTTTTGTTCAAGTGAGTTTTTCCAATCTTACTAGCGAGACTTGCTCTAATATTTCTCCTTTTTGCAGTGTGCCTATCGGCGCATTAGCTCTTTTTCTAGTGTTACTTGGTATGCCTAACGGCTTTCCCTACAAGCAGCGAGGTCGCCGCCATAAATCCATCAGTGCCGTACTCAGAACACTTCGAGATAAGTTAGATATTACAGGCTCAATTTTGCTGCTATTTGCAGTCTTGGCTTTCACAGCATGTATCATTGAAGCTGATTTGTGATTTCCTTGGAAATCTGCGTATGTTATTACGCTCTTGATTACCTCAGTTATCCTGTCGATTGCTTTGTTGGCCTGGGAGCGGCATGTTACTTTGACTGACAAGGTGCGTGAGCCGGTACTGCCTTGGCGATTCTTTACAAACCGTGTAATGATTGGTATCCTACTTGTGATGATGCTTGTTGGCGCGCCCATGGGTGTCACTACCTTCCAGCTTCCTCAGCGATTTCAGCTCGTCAACGGACTTTCAAGTCTCGATGCTGGAATCCGACTACTGCCATTTGGAGCCGTATTTCCTGTTGGCTGCATGGTAGGTACTATCATTGCAGGGAAATTTAAAGTCCCGGCAATTTACTTGATATTTGTCGGATCGATATTCCAGATAATTGGCTATGCACTACTCAGCACTTTGGGTACATCTGCTTGTATTGAAACGGCCGTATATGGCTATCTCATTATATGTGGCTTCGGTTGTGGTTTAACATTTGCAATGGCTTACATCATGGTTCCTTTTACGGTTGACCTATGTGATAAAGCGGTAGGAATGGCTTCAGCTAACCAATTCCGGGCGATGGGAAGCGCTATAGGGCTAGCTGTTGCTACGTCCGTTTTTAACGGGTACACCTTGTCTCATTTTGCGGACTTGGGGATTAACGGCTCCATGACAGATCTAATCACTGGACAGTCATCACTTCTTGAGTCTGTACGCGAAGACACTCGACGTATTCTGTCTGAAGGCTACAACCGTCAGATGCTTGTTCTATGTGTGATATTGGCGGTGCAGATACCAATTGCTATGCTGATGTGGAAACGAAAACAAATTGTAACCACGTAGAACAAGGTGCCAGAAAATATTGGGGTTTTTAATAGCTAAACCCAAAGCTAAAAAGACTAAAATGGATAAGATATTTAATATCCTCAACAATGCGAGTGCCTCACAAACCAAATGTATATGTCCTTGTTTCTGTCAGAATCCAGAAAGTCCATCATAGCAAACGTTGAAGAACTTCGTAATAGCCTCGGCGGCACGGCCCCATTGGCCACCAAAATGCAATGTGCATATCGCCATTTGTTGAAGCTTGATTGCCCCGTAAGCATAGCGTCAGGAAGAGATGACGTGCGGGGTATCTCGGGGAACACACTGCAATATCTCCACGGTCATGGACTTACTGTGTACCATCATTGCACTGTCGTCCCTTCCATTGCCGAGGAACCCACTGTCAATGGTGCCGTAAATTCTACAACCACCAGTAACAGTAATGACTCTAATACGGGTTCAACACAGCTTAAGCTTCTGCCAATGCCGATACTACTTATACGGAGCGCCACGGATTCAAATGCTTTGGACCGTATGAAGCATACCCACCAAGATTGTTACCAAGCGCAAATTTCCCGTCGAAAGCAGCGCTAAATCAGACCAGCTGGCATATACACTGGCAGCAAGACGATCTGCTGTGCCATGGCGAACCTGTGCGGTAGTTGGTGGACAAAAGTACCCCATTGACAAAGAAAAGCTTAGCGATGACATACTTCATCTATCCCTGGCGCCAGCAGTCCGAGCGTCGACTAAGAGGCCTATCATTCCTCGTCTTCACAGGACAAGGGGCGCAAAATGTTGACATGGGGTTGGAGCTGTTACGTTACTCAGCTTTTAAGGAGCGTTTACGAAAATCTGATGACATTTGGCCAGTCTAGGACGTAGCTGGTCAATATTCGGTAAGTCTCGCTTAATCTGAGAGCTCGTTTCCTTGTCTAGGCATGCTTTAGACAGTGTTAAGCTTACTCACACAATATCCCACCCCGTTCAGATGAGCTCACAATTCTGCATGCAGAGTAGCATATTTTCGTGGAAAAGTAACCGAAAAGCTTCGAGCTGTGACTGAAATTACAAGCGCCATGATTGTAGCAAATATTCCCGAACACAAAGTTCCTGCATATTCGCCAGAGTTAGATTTGGGATCTTGGAAGATACAATTCGCGTTGCATGCGTAAATAGTCCTACCAGTGTCACACTCCCTGGCTCTTCAGAAGCCAATGATTTCTGCAAAGTCGATCTTGATCAGCGTGGTATCTTTGCTCAGAAGTTGAATACTAGTGTTGCATACCATTATCCAGCCATGCTAGCCGTTACTAACAAATATACCACACTAATGGGCTCTCTTAAATCGGACATAGTAAGAAGCCAGACCAGCCTGATTCAAATGATTAGCTCCGTCACTGGCCATCTTGTTTCTCCAGAACTATTATCAACTGATCAGTATTGGGTTGACAACATGGTTTCGTCTGTGCGATTCGCAGATGCTACAAAACTGTTAGAGAAAAAGGCTGAAGAGTCAGTTACAGGAAGATCATAAGCCTCACTGATATATTTGAGAATAGTCCTCACCCAGCCCTCAGGAGGCCAGCAAAATATCCAGTTTAATCGCCTGTAGGATATCACTCTGTATTGGAGCAAAAAAATTCGTCACCACACACCATTTTAACCGTTTTGGGAGCATTGCGGTGTCACAAATATCCTGTTTCTACATTAGTCAGAAACATTCAAGCAGAGGGTAAACTTCCCTTTCCTCGTTGATTGTCCCCCATATCCATTTGATCATAGTCGACGCTACTGGGCCGATTCAAGGACCAAGGTTGAGCAAAGACTTGAGATTGAGGCTAAGCTCGCCTGAGTATATGCTTGGAAGACGTAATCATGACTGGAATCTAGTAAATGTTCTATTATCTTTTTTCTTCTCCACCTTCCTTCCTCGTAGCCACTCATCACTTAATTGGCATGCAGATTTCCGCAAAATCATTTGCCCTGGGACAGGAATGGTAGTCATGGCCATCGAGGCTGTGAGACCATAGATATCAGCAAGACACCGTGTAGTCCCAGGGTTTCTCTTGAAGAAAAATCAGTTCCTTGCTCCAATCACGGTCGGCAAGACTATACAGACTACCACTGAGACAGTCCTTCATCAATACAGAACACGTACAAAAAAGAACAAATATGCTATGAAGACAACATTTTTACCTACCGCGTTGAACGATGAACACAATGTTTCCGCCCCGATGTCCAAGTACAGCATGAAGAAGCCAATTAAAATCAAGTGGACGGCCGCCTAAAGAATCAACTTCGGCAAGAGCAGTTCCAACAGCGCCTTTAGGAAGTAGCCGAGTCTTGCAACAAGACTGTAGATGGAAGCGTCTTCTACCGGTATTACGATGAGCATAGCATCCATTATGGCGAGACATTTCAACTTCTACGAGATATTGAATGGGACGGTAGTCAGAAGTCAACTTCACGAATTGATCTATAACTACAGTCAACAACAGCATGAGATGGTTGAGAGCCCTGCCCATCCAGCTGCTCTAGACACAGGCATTCATATCCTTTTGGTACAGATTTCGAAAGGTCTTGGTGAAGATGGTGCAACAGTTGTCCCGTAACGGATAGCAAACCTATGGATTTCGGCCAAAACGTGGAGCAGTTCAACGTCATCGTTGCGTCTGCATTCGAGTCTCAATGTAGAACTAGAGACTCCGTATGGGTATTGACTGATAATTATGCACAGCTTTTTCCGTAGAGGGGTGGTAATATTGCGGAATGTTTCACTCCCTGAAAAATGAAATATATTGAAAATCAAAACGTGCTCTATCCATGCTGGCTGGCGGTCTTCTGAGCTTTTCATCGGCCCCAAAACAAATCAATACATCCATTCTCCAGGCCTTACGAATCCTACCAGAGATATTGACGATTGGACTAGCGCAATCAACGAATCGAGAGATTACCCTATGCGAAATGTCCAAATAGGCATTGATTGGGCAAATTTTACTTTACCTCCAAACTACACAATACTACCCATTGCGCTATCATCTACCGGATATCAAGCAATACCATTGGGCTTAACAGTCAGCAGCCTCATACCAGACGCGATGTCAAGAATCCGTCGGCCCCGCGAAATTTCGATACCGTTGATCGCAGCTGAGGCATCGGGGCAAGACCACGATTATGAGAAATATACATACATCACCGTCAATCGATTTCGCTATGGCTATAGCTATTCTCTTCGATGAATCACTAGATGGCTTGCTTTATCCATTCTCCTAAAATACTGAAATCTCTATGCGAAGTTCTTGTTCTTGCCATCAACTCGTCGTCATCAGCGGTACTGGATAATACATGGGCAGGTATCGAGCGGCTAGATACATATAAGCAGATAGTAAAAGTTAGGGAAACGTCATTCGAGCACTTGGGTTTGGTGATGAATGGAGATGGGGATAAGCATACCGAGAAGGTAGTGATAGACAAGGAGTATGGAAGTCTGGACAAAAAGGAAACTTTTCATTGTAAAGTAGATTGATCGCAAAGACAGATGACACGGGGAATCCAATTATTGTAGCGAGAAGAAGAAGGATATAATGAAGATCATAAACTAGCAAAAGCCCATAGTGAGGATCAATAGAATAACCACCATAGAGTGTATAATCACCCAGCATGGTTGGTCCATTCGCAAATTTGGCAATACATGCACGACATGAATGACTTCATCCCTCTCTCCTAAGCAGCAGCTACCTGTAAGGCTGTAAATAGATATCGTCTCTCAGCCACAATATGCAGTAACATCAATGATCCCACATCACACCAACTCCCCGCCCGCATTTAATATTTCCCAATCATATCATGCAAAGTTACAAACACTACAAACTCTACAATCCATGACCATCTCTCACCCGAGATACTTCTCGTCATCCATTCATTGACCAGGAGAATAACCAACCAGTACGAACGAAGATGAACCTTACCGACTACCTATCTATATACGTATATATACCTACTTCAACCTTACCTAATCCACATCCACACACCACAAGCCAAACTCCCCATCGAGAAATCTCACTCTCACTCTCAATCCTCCTCCTTCTCCTCATCCCAATTACACTCCCCCTATAAATTCCCCACAAACTCTCCAAACCCACAAGATCCTCCTCACTTACCTCCTCCCCTCCCCTCTTCATCCCTGTTCTCCCCTCCATCTTCACCACCCTCATCCTCACCTCCCACTCTATTCGCCCATAGAGCTAAGAAGCGTATTATCGGGCCTTCTAATATTTCACTTCATTTTCGTGACTTTGTATACGTACCTACCCCTCTAACCCCCCCATCCCCCTACCCCCTACCCCCTACTTACCATCTCCCATCTACCAATACAGCCCACAACAAACCCAAAACCCACCGCACTCAATCCCTAATCCTTGTCCCCAATTCACCACATGCAACAGCTCTAAAAACAAAACATAAAAGGATAAACAAATACATATAACCTCATGTAGCCCGCAGGAACGAACAAACATACCTTCGCGAGAGCGAAATGCAAACCCGTTCACAGAGCGTGCAGAATGTGCAAAATCTGCAGAAGGTCGGCCCGATCAATAATGGGATGCGATGCGATGAATGAACTGTAATACTGTATCGATTTAATTACTGTTGTGGAACACTGCATGCATGCATGCATGCATAGGTAGGTAGGTACGTAGGTACATGAAGTATAAAGTATAAAGTATAAAGTATAAAGATTATACCAGAAGAGCGATTAAATACCTTTGTCACAGATTTACAATGCAATACGAATATCTAATATCACATTGAAGAGAACAAGAAGAAGGAAAAGCACATCACAAAGGAACAAAGGAACAAAGATAATTGAAAAGTGCTCTTCATCTATTCGCCAGTGACTGAGTATCATGGTAAAGAAGAAATGCATGGTTGTAGAATCAAGTCCTTCAGCTGAGCCGCATAACACAATAAAGTTTTCTGCCCTCCCCCTTCCGCTCTTGTCCTTACATGCTTTACATGCCCATCATTTCGATCAGTCCATCGATTTGGATTGTAACGCACATGTAGTGTGGCACATCCCCAACCCAGCCACATCTGACCATCAACTCTTCCCAGCTCAAATTATTATCTTAATACCCTACTCGTAATGCAATGAACCCATTGAATACTTTGAGATATCAAGAAGTCAACTAGAGAGGAAAGAGAAGAGAAAGTCGTATGAAATAAAGGAAATACATTCTTGAAAAGTCCATCCCAGATTTACCATTTGTTCCTAAGATTACATGCATACATGGAGATGACCACCAAGCAGTTGCTCGAGTACTTCATGTGTAGTAAACGACGATAGTTTTGAAAACTCTCCCCCCAAACCCTTGCTAGCTGTTTTGTTTTTGGAAACCACAATCTTCAAATGCGTTGCCAAACTGTCGAGAAAAGAAAAAAGAAAAGGCTGCCGTCAAAAGACTTGCAAGAGACTGCAAGAACCCGTCCATCCATTCTTTAATGCATTTGGTATTGATTGCAGAGTAACATCAACGCTTCTGAGACGCCGGAGAAAGTAAATTCGTTGAAAAGGAATTGTGTGAAGATGC